CATGATAAAAAATTATATTTCTGACAGAAAGTGTGTCTGTTGTTTGGTTGGTTGATTACGCAAAATATGAAATGTGTGTGTGTGTGTGTGTGTGTGTGTGTGTGTGTGCTGATTCTGTTTATTTGAGTTTAAGCAGTGTAAGACTGTGTAATGTTATGTTTAATTCAAGCACTTCACTACCTGTAACATCATGATAAAAAATTATATTTCTGACAGAAAGTGTGGCTCATTAGATTGTGATGATACAAAACTAGAAATCAAAATCAAAATGTCAAAGGCATTTTCAAAATGTGATTATGTTCTGCTGCTTTCTTATTACAAAGAATATGCTGTTATTGAATCGGGGGTTAGGATATGAAATTATTTTTATTGATAGTGATTAGATCCATATATTGAGCCAGCACAAAGGAAAATACTGATCATAATGACTTTTGTGCTCTGTGTTGATGGATTACTGAATGAAGCAGAGGTGCTCCTGGTGCAGAGGGGTTGGGACACAGTGAGTGAGGGAGAGCATTGGACAGACATGTAGTGACTCACCCACATGTTCCTCTTTGATGGAGATGGTGGGTAAACTCTTTATTCTTTCTCTGTCTGCAGGAGGAGGACCTGTGTTTTCAAACTGGTTCAGTAACTACAAGTGAAAAAGAGCAGAAACACATTAAACAGCTGAGATTATATGCATGAGAACAAGTTCTATAAACAACACATTTGAGACATTCTCTTCCAACATTTAGCTAAACTATACGTCCTCTATAGGTCTGCTTTGATGAATCAATCTAAATATAGTTTTATCCTCCAGCTACAGAACTACATTCTGACAAAAAAGTGCTATTTGTTTGGAGCTGACTGGCAACACAGTAGTTTCTGTACCCTGTATTCTGAAAAATACCACTTCTTCAAATGGATGTGCAGCCTGGTCTTATTATATTGCTATAAAATAAATATCATTGTCATGAATTATTAATTATGATACTATAAATAGAACAGGTCCTGGGGATTGACCGAAAAAGCTCTTGGGACACTAGTTGCCTCGCTGAGAAAAAGGAACAGTTTAAGGACCTGTGTAATGATAGCATCAAGTCCATTGGCGCCCCAGGCGTAGTCCATTGGATTGGAATGTAGCATGCCCCTGCAAAACAAATATTTTTGTCTCAGTGACAAACATTACACACAGTGTATGTTATATATAGTGGAGTGTTTCTTATACTTACCATGTTCCCATTCCAATATTTGGCATGGCTGTTGGTGCTATGATTCCATTAACTAGCTGCTGGATGATTCTGTACCAGGAAAAAAGTGTTTCCAACCAAAAAATTATTACATTTAACGAAGTATATATTTAGAATTTTATGATTCTAGAAATATATTACTACTTAATATAGATGGTAACACAGCATATTTACTGTTAGCATTTATAGAAAAAAATAATAGAATAAGCATTCTTAAATGACAACAATGGATATTCTTTGTTTTATTTTATGAATGATAGGCATTTTATGAATGACAGGCATAACAGATCATTACATGGTATTTTCATTCATTAAGAATAGTTCTCGATTAAGTCTGGATGTATCTTAACAAATCATGTCACTAAATTCTAAAGCTGGAAATAATATTGTTTATGTATTTTCTGCTATAACACAAGACGCAAATTTGTGTCCAACACCAACCTCTTATGCACACTCAACTGTTGAAAATGTCTCACCCCTCTAATGTGGGCACACCTTCGTGGCGTGTAACCTGTCTTCGAGGAGCGTGTGGACGCCGTGGTTGCCGCGCACTGTATCGTTGCCGCGATGCAATTTCCCGTTCCCTCCTGTTTTCTGCCTCTCTGTTGTCTAGCCGTGTTCGAAATTCGAAATTTTCATCAAAAATCCCAAGTGTGAATGGCCCATACACAGAGGGAAATGTGAATAAGTGCTGGTGATCCAAGTTCTAGTAGAAAAGACAGAGTCAATGTCAAACCATGGTACAATGTGCAAAATGTTCTCTTAGATTAGCTAATTTTTTGGAGTTTCACTGACCTCAAAGGATGAGCGACTCTGTTCACTACTGGAAGATGTGGATGCAGACCGATTTTCAGAACTGAAGGAACACAGTAGTGAAGACAGTAAAAGCTTTTACTCAGATATCCATTCAAATATCAAATTAATACAAAACAATCAGAATATTACTCCATACCTTCGTTCCTCAGGTAATTCCTCAATGAAGCCAGATCCACAGCGTGGACAGTTGTAGTCCTGCAGTGAAAATACAAATCTCAGTATCTAGTATTAATATGCCATGACATATATACATGCAGTTTTCTGGTATTTATTTTAAGCCTAGATAAAACTGATGTATGTTCATCCGTCCGACAATAAAATCCTAACCATGCGATGGTTATAAAGTTAAGTTTAGAGTGTAAGATAGCTGTTGATGCGAATTTATTTTTATTTTGAGGCTGTGTGCTGCTGATGAATTGTATAGTGCTATACTGAAAGATTTGGTTTTAGTTTAGTTTTAATTATTCCACATATACAACATTCTCCACACAGAAAATTAGGTAATAACATTGAATATGCTAATCATGTGTCTCAATAGCTACATTTACACACAGCCAAAACTGGTACGTAGTATAACATAGTACTTTGGAAACCCATAAAAATGATCTACTACATAAGTATACTGAATCAGACCAGTCTGAGACTCATTTGCACACACATTCAAAACACATCTCTAGTTCATGAAAGTTTACACTCACACATCAACAGATAGGGAACACGCACTCACGATTTGAAAAGCAGTAATCATAAGATGAGTTAGATAAAAGAGAAAATAATCGCCATATATATATATACACAATATGAAAAGCCATAATACTAATCTGGTGAAAGAAAATGAATTGGACCCAGCTTATAAAGGAAGTCTATATGGGAGGTATTGATTGGTCAGGAGAAGTGATTTCAGGACTCTTTAAAACTGTTGTGGAGACAGGTTTAAAATATCTTGGCTATGATCATGAACAATTAAAGATACTTTCAACTGAAGCTGAGAAGTAGAAAGGGGTTGTATTCATTATTTATAGCTTCAATTCGATGCACACTATAAACGGCCAATAGGAAAACACATACTCCTCCGTGTCTGTGTGAAACGCAGAGTTTGATGGTGCTGATGTTGAGCATTGGAGTAAACCAACCGCATCCATCACATGTGTCTTTCTTCCAGTGCATTGAGACAGCTGGATAATCCAATGTTAATGTCACCACATCCAGTTAATAAACACCTTCTCCTGACGGTGTCCAGCCACACAGGCGAGTCACTGTAACGTTCAAGAAGCTCCTCCTGAATGGCTAAACTACAGACTGCAGTGGTCGGCAGTCACCATCCCAACACTGGGGACATTAAACTGAGACAGCTGTGCTTCTCTTTACAATATAACCACAGTCAGCAAACAAGCCCCCCTGGGGTTTTCATTAGAACTAGAAGTGATGACGGCCTCTACAACAACGACCTGATAACCGACAACCAACTGATTGTGATCCACAGTGCACCGCTAGCTGCTGTCAAACACACTCCAGGGATTGTTCTCGGATGAGAGTTTTATGAGGCAGATATTCAATATACTACGTTCATGCTAAAAGGATGCCTCTTAAATCCCAGGATCCTCCAGTGAAGCCTCCCTGACAACTTGATTACTACCTGTCACTGGACCGCTGCTGCTAACTAGCGTAGCGGAGGAGCAGCGGTCGACCCCCGCGCGCACGAACACACACAAATAAAACCATAAAAGAAACAACATGTAATTTCTACTTCTTTAACCAGGCAGCTGTGTGTCTCGGGTGCCTACCGGTAAAGTCGGGCTTATCTCTGCTGAGCACCGGTGACAAAAAAAAAGCCCGGGCCGTGTGTGAGCTTCAGCCATTTCTGTGCAGAGCAGCAGTAACTACGGACGGGAAGCAGCGAGGGACAACGGGAGCACAGACGCGCTGGAAACGGAAGCGGACAGCAGCTGCACGAAGTTACTGAGTTCCGGTTGTGTTCCCATCTAAACAAAAGCACGAATGTCTCATATTAAAAAGAAACGAAAAGAAAAACTATTCTATAAAACATTGGCAACCTTTCATCAATCGCATAGGTATCCTGCCATCTCACATGATCACCTACAAAAGAAATCA